CCCGCCGCACGCTGCCCTCCACGCCCGGGAGCGTCGCCGCCGGCAGGGACGGGAAGCGCCGACGGCGGGCAGCGCTGGCTGGGGAGGGCGTGGATCCGCTCCGGACTCACCGTCAGCTGGGCCGCCGCAGCAGGGAGGCGAGGACGGCTAGGGGAAGACACAATATGGCAGAGACTGCAGCTGCTCCCGGCAGCTTCCAGCAGCCGCCTCCGGGAAGAAGCGGCAACAAGCAGGCAGCGGCAGCTGCGGTGGCGGCCGCGGCAGCACCACATCCCCCTCCTTCTCGCTTCCTCCCCCGCTCCGGACTCACCGTCAGCTGGGCCGCCGCAGCAGGGAGGCGAGGACGGCTAGGGGAAGACACAATATGGCAGAGACTGCAGCTGCTCCCGGCAGCTTCCAGCAGCCGCCTCCGGGAAGAAGCGGCAACAAGCAGGCAGCGGCAGCTGCGGTGGCGGCCGCGGCAGCACCACATCCCCCTCCTTCTCGCTTCCTCCCTCACCCTCCACCCTCCCCCCGCTGTCATGGCAACGCGGCGCCAAGGAGATTAGCCCCGCCCCTCCCTTTCGTCCCCGCCTCCCGCGACCTCTCGGGAGGGGTGCTCGGCCCGCCCCTTCCCGTCCCCTTCCACCTCCTACCAACGGGCCGGGCCCGGGACCCGGAGGCTACCTAGAACGACCGGTTGGGAAGAAAGTGGGGCGGATGCGGTGTCCGGAAGGGCGGGGCTCGCACGGAAGGTAGGGCGGTGACTTGGTGAGCCAGTGCGGGTTTCGGGTTGAGTAGCGGACGAGGAAGGCGGGAAAATGGAAAGGCCTCGCCTGTCTTGGGAAGGACCTATAGGAGAGCGGCGGGGCGCGGCGCGGCTGCTGACTGGCGGAGAAGGTGCAGGGGCGGAGCGGGCGAGGGTGGCCGTCCCGGCCCGTCCGACGGTGACGCCAGTCTGCTTGGACTGCAGCGACAACCCACAACTGCTCGAGCTTCTTTCTGTTGGTGTCTCCAAGATCTTTCCGCCACTGGCCAGGGTTTTTGAAAGAGGTTTAGAAACGATAAAGCACTAATATAAACTTAGAGTATTATTGCCCTTGCTGACTGAAATTTTATGTGGAATCTGAGCTCAGCGTGTTTGTGGTTAAAAAAAAAAAAGATTGTAATCAGAACCAAAATTTAATAAGCATAACATTTACTGAGCGCTAAATGCTAGGGACTGAGTTAAGTCCTTTGCATACATTGTCGTAACCATAATACTAACAGCGTTGACAAATAAAATACAGGAGTACCCAGTTAAACGTAGCATAATTTTTTAGTAGAATGTTCCCTTTAGGATATTCTTCCTGTTTTGTTTTGTTTTTTTTTGTTTGTTTGTTTGCTAAATTTGCCAACCCTATCCTGACGCTTACAAATTCCCACTTTACAGATGAGGAAACTGAGGCTTGAGAAAATAACCAGATATAAGGTAAGTGGCAGAACTAAGGGTCCATTTTACTATCATTATGATACTGATAATTAAATCTCAGAATATCTATAACCACATCTTCAAAAACTAGAGTAGGGATACATACCTCACAAATGTATTGAGTAGATTAAAAGAAAAGGCAAAGAAAGAATAAAAGATACATGAAAGAGACCTAGGCAGTCACTGGTGCATAGTAGGTGGTAATAGAAATTATTTCCTTCCTGAACAATGAATGTTAACTGGATATTCACTATGAGCCAGGCTGTAAGTATAAAGTGAGCTGAGTATGGAACAAGCTGCCTACTGACAATAAAACAAGCTGTGAGAATGACAGATATAGAATTATAGGCATCAGACTATATAAAAACAAGAATGGAAGTGTTTAATCCCTAGTACCACAAATGAAAACACTGCATTCATTTACATGATTTGTCCAAAGTCATCTATTCTATTCATTTTTCATTACACTGTCCTGAAGGGCCTCATAACGGCATTCAGAGTAAGAACATGGTGCAAATATACAATGCTCTTCAACTGAAGCAAGAGCTGCTTAATTTTCTCCCTTCAAAGCAATTACTGTCGGCTGCTCACGTGGGCAAATTGAAGAAATTTCTATGCACTCCTCCAGTTCCTGGAGGAGTGCATAGAAAGGAGGAAAGAGCAGAGGAAAGAAAGAAGGGAGGATTGAGAGAAAGTGGATTCTAGAGAACTACCACCTCCTCAGACCTCAGTCTTGTTTAATCTCTGCTGGCCATTGTCATGGTGGCCACTAACAATATAGGTCTTTACCGCCTTTCAGATTATTGTACTAATATTATATATATTGAACTTAAGTTACTATTTTTCCATCTATTTTAAACTCATGTGGCTAAACAGGCCCCCTCAACTCTAGAAGAATTACAGAATTTGAGAGCTGGAAGTTATATATATTTTAGAGATATATCATCCAGGAGTCAAATCTATCATGGATGAGGAAACAAATCCAGAAAAGGTATATAACTTGCCTAAAGCCAAATAGTGAATATACTGCATCCTCATCCACTAAGTTCTCTGTGCTGGTCCTCTCTACTCACTCATTCACCCTAGAGAGGCCGGGCGTGTTTAAATAATCTCTGTGGGTAAGGTTCAGGTCTCTTAGGAAATCTGTCACACTTAGTTTAGAGGTTTAATTTTTAGAGGACTTTGAACACATACCAAGAAAAAGTGCTGATTAAAAATAATGATGATTCAGAGTGAGTAGCTTTTCCCAGGAGTTTATAAGAGTAAAATATCTAGAGAACCAGAATTTAGCTCTTTAGGAGAAAGAGGATCTTGGCATTTATGATTTCTTATAAAACTGTATTCTTATTTCTTCAAAAAACTTTAAAGGAACATATTCAATAATAAACTTTATTGCAGGATTAATGCATTAGAAGATATATTGTTTGAAATGTTCTCATGTTTAGACAGAAAAGTGATAGGAACTCAAATATACATACTTATATTTAAATTTTTTAAATCATTTTATTACATTCATTTAACAAAAGACTTTTTTGATTGTGAATTGATGACTCTAAAAATAACCAGTTAACCAGTATGGAATCTAGACTTCAAATCCCTTGAGGTCAATGACCATGTCTTTTTCTTCTTTATAGTCTAAATTCTTAGAACAGCTTTTAGAACAGAGATAATATTCAATAATACTTGTTAATAAAAAAGTAACTTGCCTCAAATTACATGATACCAGGACTAGCATACAACATTTCTAAGTGCTGGTCTGCCACTTGGGCTAAATAGGTAAAATTATGAATGAAAATCTAATTTTTTCCCTGTAAGGATCTTTTCCAGTGTACTTCTTCAAAGCAACTACCTATATTTAATAATATTTACATTTCTGTAAGCCCTGTAATTGGCAGTCATGTGGACAAATCTTCCTACTGAGGACACTAGAAAAACTCAAAAAATATTTAAAAATATTAGCTCAAAGGCATCAGATTGCTTACAAGGTAGAAATCACTAGGCCATGATCTGAAGAATGATGAAGCCTAAGGAAGTCCATTTATCCATTCCATAGTGTATTTCTGAGAGGATGAGCAGAGATGAGGGATGGCAATTAGAGTTTGGGGTGTGCTAAGTGGGAAGAACTCTGTTGCAGCCCCATCGTTTGGACTGGGAATCCGAATGGCTACATCCTAGAAGTGAGGAGGCTACATCTATTTCAAATCATCTCAATTCCAGGATTGGATTAGTGTAATTCCTTTGACCTAATGCTCCCAAGCACTTGGCAAAAGCAAGCTAAAATCCTCTCTGTAGTAAGGTAATATCATTCTAGGCCTCAAATCATTTCTATAAACAATTTTGCAAATACAATGTTTAGTACACAGTGAAAAATAATCAGTCACCCAAGGAAACAAGAAAAACAGCAGAAACAACAGAGAACAAAACAGACACCAAAGGGCTTCAGATAATGAAATTATCAGATACAGATTTAAAAATAATGCTTACTATGCATACTTAAATACAAGATTAAAATTTTAGTCAGATAACTAGAAACTTAAAAAAAGAATCGCATGAAAATTTTAGAACCACAAAATTCACTAATAGAAAATAAGAATTTGATGGTATAATTGTATATTAGATGAAGATAGAGTTAGTGAAGTAGAAGATAAGTCAGAAGAAAAGATGCAGAATGAGGGACAAAAAAAGAAAAAGAATAGAAATACAGAAAACAAGAAAAGCTCATGGAAGATACCATGATAAAGTTTAATATACATATAAATGGAATTCTAGAAGGAAAGAAAAGACAGTATTGGGCAGAAGTAATATTTGAACTAATGAATCCCACTCAGGATATATATATTTTTTAATCCACACAACACATAGACACATTATTTAAAAACTGCTAACATCCCGGACAAAGAGAAAAATCTTAAAAGCAGCTAGAGAAAATAAGTGTTAACCTTTAAAGAAACAATAATTAGACCTACAACTGACTTTTTAACAGAACTACCTAAAGCCAGAAAATGATGGAATGATAACTTTAAAGGATCAAAAGCAAATGTTTTAACAATGAAGGTAAAATTAGGAAATTTTTAAACAAATAAAATAGGGTATTTGTCACCAGTAGATTCATAATGGCACTCTTTAGGTAGAAGGAAAATAATCCCAGTTGTAAGGTCAGAGATACATGAGGGAATAAAGATAAATCAAAATGATAAATATGTGCATAAATAAATGAATTTTGATATTGTCCATATAAGACAATAATAGTAATGCCTTCTGTATTTAAAAATATATAATAATGGTATAAAACTCAGAAGAGGGTAAATGAAATCGAATGTATTGTCTAAGGATGGAAAAAGTTATTAATAATAGACTGATGAATTAAAAATGCATCTTGTAATCTCTAAAAGAATCACTAAGAGTATAATAAAAGACTATATGTATAGTTAAGGTTCATCAGAGAAACAGAACCAACAGAATGTGTATATATACCAAAAAAGAGACACTTATTTTGAGGAATTTGCTCAAGAAATTGTGGAGGCTTGGTAAGTCCAAAATCTGTAGAGTTGGCTGGCAGGCTGCAGAACCAGAGAAGAGGTGCAGTTTAAGTCCAAAGGCAGTCTGCTGGCAGAATTCCTTCTTGCTTAGGGGAGATCAGTCTTTGTTCTATTAAGGCCTTCAACCGATTGGATGAGGCTTACTCATATTATGGAGGGTAATGTGCTTCACACAAAGTCCATCAATTTAAATGTTGATCTCATTCAAAAATATATTCACAGAAACATCTAAAATAATGTTTTGGCACTGTGGCACAACCAAATTGACACAAAATTAACTATCACACTGTGCAATATTCC